CCACCCCGTTAGAAAACCCCAAAGCCCATAAGCCCTAAATCTTAAACCCTAAAGCTTAAACCCTGGCCCTAAACATCCATCCCAGGAGAACGCTTCCAGGCCAAGCGCTAAGCCCGGCCCTTAGGAACTTCATCGAAGCCGAAGATGTCACAGCAAAGGGAGGGGCTACCAGATGCGGATTCAGGGTTTAGGGCTTATTTTATACGTCAGGTACCTTGTAGCATCAGCCCTATGCCCTAAACCACCAGCCCCAACACCCCGAAACCCAAGCCCTATGCCCTAACCCCAGGCCATACTTGGAGTTGTAAGTAGCGCTATGAGTCCCCTAATATGGGTTATAAGTATAGTTTCCCTACTTATAACCCCACTTATAACTACCCATGAGCCTCCATGTACCCCCTGAGACCTCAGCCCTAAGCATCCTAGACCCCCGCCCCGCAACCACCCGAGGTCCGAAAACCTTGGACATGGACCCAAGGACCCTTCAATACAGCCCTTAGGGTCCTTGATAGTGGGCCTTAAGCGTACAATGGAGGGTAGTTGGGGGGCTTGGACAAACCGGTTTAGGGTTTAGGGGTTACTAGGATGCCCAGCAGTACCCTTGTTCCCTTTTTGTTCTTATAAAGTTACCAATACCACGAAGGGAGACCTTTTTATTCCTAGGTTACTGGGCATCCTAGGTTAGGCCGCGAAGCCCCAAATCCGAACCTCTACACCCAACACCCTAAAGGCATAAAGTCCTAAACCCAGAAAGACCAAACCCCGAAAGCCCAACGCCCCTTAGCCTGGCCCTACATAAACCAGATAAATCATGAATTTCCCCGGATGTGCATGTAATCATGCTACTTGTACCCATCTATCTATCCAGCTATCCACGTATTAAACGATTCACTGTACATATAAACCCAAAGCTCGTTTTGTGCAGTCTACACCCTAAACCCTAAGCCCAAAGTTCGTTTTCCTCAGTCTACACATCTTTCTTACGGTTCTGAGGTGTTCGCTTCGCCAGGGACAACCTAACAGGGCCCCGGCCTCGTGCGTTGGGGATCTGAAAGGCTTTCAGGTTTTGCTTTCCGTCTCCGGCTGTTTGCCTGGATCAGTCATAGTTGAACTTTTCCTGTTTTGCGGCTTAGGGAGTAGAGCCGTGCGGGTTTATGGCTCGTTGTGGTGGGGATGCGCGCTTGATGGTTAATGGAGCATTCCGCCCATCGGATATAGGTTGGTTAATCCAGCGGCTGAGGGTTTGAGGGTGTTCGGATTCACTGTTTCGGGCTTTGTTCACAGCTTAAGGCGCCATCAGGCTTTGTCTGCAGCGGCTGGGGTCACGACAGCCGTCAAGTCACATTTAATACAGGGGCCTTAATAATTAGACTAGGGTTTTGGGGCCCTTTATGCTATAAATATGACAAGGAACCACCAAAGTAGTATCGGTAAGTATTTAGGCCCCTATAGTAGGGGTGAGCCAAGCCGGCCAAGCCGCAAGTATAGTGTCCGAAACGGGATCAGCTGAACCTGAATCCTACATCCTAGAGTCCTAGACTAGACTCTCTCCTGTATTTGTTGCCACCACCCTGCAAAGCACCCTTGGCCTTCCAGCCCTTTTGGTCCTTAATCGTGCATATGTGGGTTTATGATACTGGGTAGTTTGTCGGTCTGGATAGAATACCCATGGCCGTGAATTCCTGATGGAGCTTGGGACCCTAAACCCGGAATTCCGTGCTTCAAAAAAGCTCTGAGTTACGTGGGTTACGCATTTCCCACAATTTCGTTTGAATTCCTCACAAAAAATACAATGCACCATCACAAATAAAAGCTTAAAGCCCGCATATATCATAGACAAAGTCCAAAACCCTCAAGCAAGATTGTGCCGTTGAATATCCAACTCGCCTCGCCAGGGAGGAGGAAGTTTTCGTCGGCGATGGATTCAAGCCGGCCATGGCAACGAACGAGGCAAAGAGTAATCTGGGTTTGGGGTTGAGGGGCTTACTTGGAGATTCATGGATAGTTATAAGTAGGGTTGTAAGTATGGTAACTATACTTATAACCCATATCAGAGGACTTATAACCCACTTATAACTACCCCTGAACTTCTAAGTAGGGGCTTTCGGTTTAGGGCACATCAGCTAAGACAGGATATTTAATTGTCTGTTCCGGCTCACGGCTAAGGGGCCTAGCAGTTCATAACTTCGAGGTTTGACAATTATGCTTACCTAGGATTTGGAGTTCAGAGACGGTGATGCAAGGCCAAGAACCTGCATCTGTGACATGGGGTGCACGCCAATGCATCACCCTAAGGCCCCAAAGTAGTTCGTTTTTGGGGTTCATATGTAGAACCCTATAAGGTAATCCCAAAAAGGAACTACTTTGGGGCCTATGGGTAAGTCTGCAGCGATACCCGTCCAACTGTGACTCGTACAGGATTGCGGGCTTGCGCTGAGGTGTTGGAAGGCTCAACTCTAAAGTTTCCTGAACCCTAAACCCTAAACTCTCCTAAACCCTAAACTCGCCTAAACCCTAAACTTTCCTAAACCCTAAACTCTCGTAAACCCTAAACTCGCCTAAACCCTGAACTCTCCTAAACCGTAAACCAGTGTAGATTATAGGGATTATCACCAGATGCGTGGCAGAAAGGCTCTTCACCGAAAGCGCACAGAGTGGTACCGTGGGCTTGTTGGGCGCTGGACACCCGGCGGCGTGTCGCAGTACGATGTACGGCACCTTCCTTCGATAATGCATATGTATGTAAATAAATATATATATATATATATATATATATATATGTATATATATATATATATATATATGTATATATATACATACATACATACATACATACATACATACATACATACATACATATATATATATATATATATAAGAATATAGAAGCCTGAATAATTGCCGATACTCTTCTTTAGGGTTCCTCATGTTGGTCACAGTAGAACGGGCACAAACGGACTGGGCCTCAGCCCAAGCCCAAGCAGCCAAAACCGCGTATCGGCAATAATCAACAAGCCCCATGGCATATGCAGGTCGCAGCAGCAACGGACTTGACTGAAAGGCAGGCCGTTCGCTCAAAGATCGGGTTTGCGGGTGTGTATAGGGATACTGGACCATGGCTATATACAACTTCCCTGTCGGAGTTGGAAAGGATGCTAGACTCTGCTGTCGGGGTTCGAGAACATGTGGATAAAGCAGACTTTTGTGCCCTAAACCCTAAAACCCTAAACCCTAAAACCCTAAGCCCTAAAAACCTTAAACCCACAGCAAACCCGAAAGAAAGATGACCCCTAGACCGTAAGCAGCTGCCAGGTTACCTTTTGAGGAGGTTCTGGACCCCTTAGCTGCTAAACTTGTAGAACTGCAACGCGAACGCATCCAATGGCGGAGAGAGTCCTAAACCTGTTACAACAGGGTTAGGGCTGTGTACATGTGTAGATATACATATGTTTGTATTCGTTACATACATACATGCATACATACATACGTACATACATAAATACACAGATACATACATCATACATGCATACATGCATGCACACATGCATACATGGATGCATGCATGCGTGCATACATACATGCATACATAAATACTTACCTACCTACCTACATACATTCCTACATGCATACATACATACAAACGTATGCACATGACATGATGTATGTATGTGTGTATTTATATATACATATGTGATGAGGCCAGACTGAACAAAACTTGAGCATCTAACTGGGCTTCCAGGTTCGCATCAAGACATGGGACCAGCAGGTGTGTGTTTCCACATGCTTGGGTATCGTACGGCATGGAACCATTATACTACCTTGGGGGTTCCTCGTTATAATTATAGTATAATGGCCCCCCAAACCCTATTCTAATCATGAAGGCGGCCCCAATATTATAAAACCCTACTATAGGCCCCTTTTAGTATCCCAGAAAGGACCCCTTTAAAAAGGACAGCTGTTCTAAAGAGGCCCCTGCAATATCCATGTCGGGGAGGCAGAAGCGGCAGCTGCTTGCCAGCTGCAGCTGTACCGGCGGCAGGTGATCCATCGCGAGAGAAAGTGCCGAAGCGATCGGAGGAGTAGTAGAAGTAGTAGCAGCAGGCGTGATAGTAGGTGCATTGGTTGTTGCTGCATCTGCAGTAGCACTGCGTCTGTTAGGTTTCTTTGGTCATGTGTCTTCTTGTCTGCAAGCCTCATGTGCCACCCTCCGTGACGTACTATGCTAGCCTAGGGCTCCAGCGGCTGAAGCTTTCCACGCAAGCTCAGAGTCTTCGCACAGGTTTAACTCTGCACGAAGTATACCTATACCATATATAAATACAATATACATATATGTATGTATGTATATATATATATATATGTAATATATATATATATATATATATATATATATATTTATATGTAATATATATATATATATATATATATACATACACATGACACTCGATGGAGTCTAAGGGAGCACCCCGGTGATTGTGAAGTTTGCCTGTCGGACAGCTGCAGGATGCTATGCATCTCTGACACCTTGCGATTATTCCAGCCACAGACTTTGCGTGATGTCTTGTTTGGGATGTAGGGTTCGGTGGTTTAGTTTCTCTCAGCCCCTGAATACTAAACCCCTCAACCCTCAACCGCCCATTCTCGGCTCGAAACTTTGGAGGGTCCAGGAAAAGGCCGGGTGCCTGGACGAGAAGGCCGACGTTGCGATGCCCTCCACCCCCCACGGCCCCGCCGCGACGTAATTGTGGGTTGCCAACCACCAATCCGTGAAGGGGAGTTGAGGGGTACATAGGGAAGATACTAGATCCAGACGCCTCGGGCAAGCCTCATTGAGTAAAGTTTGTAATGGAACACGCTGGTGATTCTACAGTTTGCCTGCGACACAGCCAGAGCATTCCATGCATGTCCGACACCTTTTGACTATCCGAGCCACAACCTTGGTGATGTTGTGTTAGGGTTTAGGGTTGTTAACAGGGTTTGGATTCTTTGTCCGTGATGCAATGAAGATCCCTGGCCCTGGCGAGTTTATCCGCCAAGCGCTGATGCTTGGGCAATGATCATTCCCCGGAAGCCCAGTTCCCTACATAGTGGGTTGCCATGCTATCGCTGTTTTAAGACAAAAACCTACCGCGGCTTCCGAGGGCTTGTTTCTTGTGATCTGGAAAGATGTCACTTCACCACGGTGATTGGCAGTGTTGCTGCTGTAGCTACTGCTGCACGCCGATTAACGCTAGTGCTGCCCCAACCCTGGATACTGGGCCTTGCGAGGCAGGCCCACTCCTTCCCGGCTGCGAGTTGAGAGGTCGAGTGATTATTCACCACGCAGGGCTATGTGTGAGCACTGACAGTCCCTGGTGCCCTGATGGTTGATGATATAAATGCTATAATAAGGAAGAAATCCTGCGTAACCCATAATAAGGAACATACCATAACTCCCATAGTCTAGGGTCATTAATAATGAAGTGTTTATATCATCAACCCTAGTTGGCTACACTAGCCCTCAGCGAACAGTGAACAGCATCCAAGGATCCCAGTTTCCGGCGTGAAGCGTCGAATCACAAAAAAGACGTCTCCTTCTGCTTCTTTGATTGCAAGCGAGCGCTACATTGCTGCTTAAAGGGTTGCTTTCTGAGAGCAAGAAATCTTTATAGCATTTGATCACACATGTGTCGCTCCCCTCTCTCCTTTTCGGTGATACGGTTGATGGTGCAAATCCTGCATTACCCATAATAAGGAATATACCATAATTCCCATAGTTTAGGGTCCTTAAGGCAATGCAGGGTTTATATCATCAACCGTGACTCCAAAGCTCTCAACCCCAGATCCGACTCCCGAGACACCGCAAGCCGCAAGTTCCAGCATGCTCATTCTGATTGAGCCGCCTCCAACTCCCTGCCTAGAGTCTCCATTGTAGTTCCTTTGTTTTGGTTGACCAGTTTCATGGGTAGGATCCTATAACAGAGATTTTGGTTAACCAAAAGAAGGAGCTACAATGGAGACTAAAGGCAAAGAGTTGGGATTCACTCGCTCAAAGAAATGGCTTACACTATTTTGGAGGTCCTAGTAGCTAGCATTCACGGTTCCTTTTCCTGAGAACCCTTATTGAAAACCCTATAAACATCCATAGCAATCTGAAGTCGCCGATACGGCCCTGGATTACAGGGTTTGGCAGGCTCTATGTTCTCACCTATTACAAACCCTAACCCCCACACCTGAACCCTAAGCTGGCCAAACCCCTCAGACTGAAGCGCAAAACCCTAAACTCCCTACACCCTCAACCCTCAGCCCTTCCTAGACGCCCAACTATATACCTTCTATACCCGAAACACCCACCATGAAGGAGCATGAGGGCTGTATGAAAGGTTACTGGGGGTTCCTGGTTAAGCCCAAGCCTAAAGCCTGCAAAACCCAAGGCCCTCAAACCTCTAGAGGCCTTTACAGTAGAAGCCAGAAAGTTGGAACATGAGTTTAGGAGGATTAGTGCTAGGATCCCGTTCCCTTTACCTTAAGGGCATGAGGAACTAATGTTCCAACTTTCTGGCTTCTACCATAATCTTTTCCTATACTGCTGTGATGGGGCCTCCTTATTATAATTACATAGTATGCAACCAAACCTTATTCTAACTGTGAAGGCCCCTATACTATAGGACCCTTACAGATCCTGTATAGTATCCGATGAAGGACCCCTTTAAGGAAGCCGATTGCAATTAGAGTAGAAGCTAGAAACTTGCAACATCGTTATCCTCATGCGCTTAAGGTAAAGTATAGGGAATCCTAGCACCTATCCTCCTAAACTCATGTTCCAACTTTCTGGCTTCTACGGTTGATGATGCAAATCCTGCACTATCCATAATGAGGGATTTATCTTTTTCTCCCATAGTCTGGGGGTCGTTAAGGTAATGCCGGGTTTATACCACCAACCTAGACCCTAAACCCTAAACCCTAAAACGCTATAGGTCCCTGAAAGGTGCCCCTTAAAGGAACCCCTTATAGATCCCTTTAAAGGAACCCTATCAACCGTACTTTATTAAGGTCCCTACATGAAACCACCAAGGCCCTGGTCAGGCGCTGCTCGGGACAAGCTCCTGAGCTGCAGAACCATTACAATGAGCTGAAGGTCCCGAGGCCTTGTGGGTGACCAGGACCCCCCAACTCCCCATGGATGGGCTCTTGGATTCCTTATTTAGATGTAAATAAGGGCTACAATAAAGGGTAGTTAGGGGGTCTAGGGAGGGTTTATAAAGTCTGAACCCGAAACCCTAGACCCGGTTGAAGGTTTAGGGTTTAAGGTATAGGGTTTAAGTTTTATAGGGGTTAGGGTTCAGTTTTGGGTTCAGGGTCGAAGGTTTAGGGCTTAAGGTTTAGGCTTAAAGTTTTAGGGGTTCGGGTTTAGGGTTAGGGCTTTAGGGGTTGAGGGGCTTTCGGGGTGAGGGTTTCCTTAGGGTTTAAAGTTTAGGATCTAAGCTTCAGGGTAGAGGTTGGACTGCTGATGGACAATATCCTGCATGACCCTAAAGACTCTACGCTATGGGGACTATGGTATATTCCTTATAATGGGTAATGCAGGATTTTGTCCATCAACATTAGGTTTAGAGGTCAGGGCCGTGATCGTCCAGGTTCTTTGCTGTTGCGGCTTTAATGTTTCTGCTGTTTGGGTTTTAGGACTTATAGGGCTTAGGGGTTTCGGGCATTGGAGAAGTTCGGCTTTGGAATTTGTGGTTTGGCGGTGTAGGGGGCTCTGGGGTTTAGGGCTACGGGTTTGGCTTCTTTTGTCGGTTGCAGTTCAAAGCTGGGGTTTGGGATTGGGTTCAAGGTCTGCGGTTTAGAGATGTTTACAAATCTCATGACAACCAAAGATGTAGGTTGAGGTGGACGTTGAGGCATGTCTGTATTAAAGCCTAGATTCGCAAAGCCTAGGCCAAAGCCCGCACATTGCCGTTGTAGCGTTTTCAGGTTTAAGGTTCGCTTGAAGCATGACCCTACGGGGTCCATGTGCCCAAATATATAGTATATACTTTTGGCCCCAATGTACCCATACAGGGACTACTTTAAGGCCAACGTACATACTATTTGGGTGCATGGACCCTGAGGGTGATGCTCCAAAGCTCAAGTTTTTTTCTTGGTGTTGGGGACACTACTGCTTGAAGCCTTGAACCGGAAACCCTAAGCAACCACAAACCTCCGCTCTATGAGGCCCAACTCAAAGGAAGCCCGGCCCAGGGAATGCAAGCTCCCGTGAGGATAAACCCTAAACTCTAAACCCTTAAACCCCTAAACCCTGAACCCTAAACCCTTAAACCCTAAACCCTTAACCCTCAAACCCCTAAACCAATGGTTGACCAGGCATGCCTCGAAAAGGCAGATCAGACAAGCCTACCTCCGCCTGGCCGTGGAGGTTCACCCTGATAAGCTCCGGGCACGGCTTCTTGCTTGCACGGTTTAGGGTTTGGTACCCCTAATTATTCGGAAACTCCCAACAGTGGCAAGTTTTCTTCACACAGAACAGGCTTCAGTCTCTTGCTTTCTCCTGCCTCAAGGTCGGGACAAGAGCCAACACCAAGAGAGGTACATGGCGCTACCGTGGCCTTTTGGCGAATCACGCAGGTTCCGCGAGGGAGGGTTTAACGTGCATGGTTTTAGAATTTGCATGCGTTGTCTTCAGCTTTGTCATCTTAGGATATGCGCCACTGCAACCTTGATATACGTCACTTTGAGCCGACACTCCAGCTAAACAGGACATCCAACACAAAGGGTAACCAGTGCTGGAGGACATCGGTTCTGGCCGTAAAGCAGAGCGATTCTCACGAGGGGTACCGCACTTGTACTAGCAATAGTTGGGGGCTAGTAGTTTCCGGCATGGCGGTGGCATCGCTTCTCGTTTTCGTTCGTTTGATTTCATCGCTGACTGTTCCTGTTGGCTGTCACTGCTAGTATGGACGCAACGACGGTGACGAAGCTACGGATAGTGTTGTCATGACAAGGAGGTAATATGTAGTGGCCTTGATAATTACCTATACGATTTTGGAGTCTTCCATCTTATAACTATATTGGTATAATATAATATACCCCAAAACCCTATTCTAACGAGAGTTCTTGTTCAAGAGGGTGCACCTGTCACTCTGTTTCTCTTTGCTCGCCCCGACGTTCTGCCCGCTTCACCCCGAAACCCTACTCTAATTATGAAGGCCCCATATAGTATAAGGCTTGATTCACGGTCCGGATCTCCGGTTTCCGGGGCTCGAGATGTTGACGCCCCAACAACTGCTCCCTGCGTAGACTTTGTGGACCTTGCAATCTTAGCCCCATTCCCTAAACCTAGCCGTCATTGCTGTTGGTGAGGCATTCGAGATTCTGTCCGACCCGGTGCGACGGCAGCAGCACGATGATTATTTAAGCTTCAGCAGCTGCTCCGCAATGGGAACTTGTGGCGCGTATGTTGTCCCAGAAGCTCAGAAGTAACTAGGTGCCGCCCGTACTTCTTGAAGATACTGGTGTCCTGTGCTTTTATGCTTTCATTGCCCTTGGTGCCTCGACGCACCCTGCGTCTTGTATCCCGTATTATAGTAGGCAATACTTGCTGTGCTGTTCAGCTGTGTCCATCACGTTTGCGGCGAACATGTGCACAGTCCCTTGGACTGTGTATTCTCTCTCTACGACAAAGACTACATTCACCCTGGTCTGTGTTGCTAAGCGCATGGCTCTTTTTGGTTTTCTTGCATGTGCCCTGTTTTCGCACAGTGCTTTTGGTGCTGTGCTGTTTGTTGTAACTTGTTGCTCACCTCGTTACTGAGACATTGCGCTGTGCGTATACATGTTGTGTTGCGTTGCATGACGTGCGTGCACTGTAACATCTTCAAGCTATTCCTGTATGGTGCTGGTGATACTGGTGCTGTTGCTAGGGGCGGTACTGGAGCTGGTACTGGTGCTGCGGTGGCGGTGGCGGTGGCGGTGGCGGTGGCGCTGGCAGTGGCGGCGGCTCGGCGGGGGTGGTGGTGGTGGTGGTGGTGGTGGTGGTGGTGGTGGTGGTGGTGGTGGTGGTGGTGGTGGTGGTGGTGGTGGTGGTGGTGGTGGTGGTGGTGGTGGTGAATGGGGGGTATAGTAGATGAGGTTCTTGCTGCTGTATCTGCTCTTGCCGTTGCTGTTGCGGTTAAGTGGTGGTGCTGGTGGTGATGGTGGTGGTGGTGGTGGTGGTCCGGTCGTGGTCAGGGTGCGGTGGTCAGCAGCACCAGCACAGCAACAGGACCAGCACCAACACCACCACTATCACTATCATCATCGCCGCCATCAGCTGTGTCACCGATCTCATCGTCACCATCTCCAGCATTGCCATCAACAGCTTTTGAATCAGCATGTCACCGTCAGACAGTCAAACTCAACGTGTTGTAATGTCGCCGATGGACTCCGAGGTCCCTGTGTTCATGAAGAAGATGCACCAGTGCTTCGTTCACCTCTAAGCGAGGCGAAGGTGCTGATCGAAGGGATGATGGCAGCGGCCTTAGGAAAGCAAGTAGTTCGGACAGTGCAACCCCGTACTCGGCACCTGGCTCGTGTCAGGTCGGCCGGGTGATCCACCCACTGGACCACTGCACCGAAGTGCTGCTCAAACTCCGCAACTTCCTGAGGGGAAGGCAAACCACTGAGGATGACGATGTCGGCAACGTCGATGCCAATCGAAGAGCTGTGGACAGCTGCATCCATGCAAGCAAATGGGGCTATGTGGCGGCAATGCAATGGGCCAGGCTCAGCGTTCGTACGACCAGGACGAAGTCTTTGCAGCAAGCAGTGCGGTGGCGCGCTGCTCTCACAGAGTTGAAGAACACGGCACAACGGCGCATGAACACCGGAGACTGCCGCCCTCTGACTCTTGGCATGTTCTGGCAGCCTACTAGCCTGGTCGTTTGGGTTGTTGGAATCTTTAGCTCCAACATCACTAGCAGTCACTAGCACCCTGCCAAGGATCGAAGATGAGCTGCTAAACACGCTGAGCGATGATCCGGACCTCAACCTAGCTTTCCGCGTTTCGGACCAAGAGGGGAGGTTCACGCCAACGACGGCCAACTGGCAACTGGCCCTGGAGCATCACGCACGTTTGTCGGAGGCAGTACTTCAGAAGTTTTTTTCTGATTTTTCGGAATTCGAACTCTCATATGCAGGTATACATATGCATACCTTCACCGCAGTCAGCAATCATTGTCAATATGTTCTGATCTTGTCGATGCGCGTTCGATTGCTGGTGCCCACAGGTGGCTGAGGGCAAAAACATCAGCACGAAGCGCGAAAAGTTCCAGCAACGGGCGAAGAACGAGGTCGCATGGCAATAGTGCTTCCGAAGCAGCCACCTCGAACTACAACAAGTATACACTCCTAGCCCTAAGCCCTGAACTGCCCTAATCCTTTAAACCTTACAAGGGTATCTCCACCGTAATTAGCCGATGCAGGGGGAGCCTACTTTGGAACCCCTACCCTAAAGATCCCTTAATCAAAGCCTGCTTCGCTGGGGCCTTGTTGAGGGTCTTGCTTTTCATCTATGTTACCATAATGAGGAAGGCAGAGTATAACCCTGTCATTGTAGGACCAGGAACAGGGACTTGGGGAAGTTGACCGCTTTGTGCCGGGATACTATAGAACCCCAACTAACGCGTAGGATTCAGGAAGTTGACGAAGTTGACCGCGGGATGGGTTTCCGCAAGTACACGCATCGGTTTGAGAGAAGCGAAATGTAGCGGTTTGTGTATTTCCATATCCAAAACACCATTGAACGCTGCCCCCAGACATGCTTCAAAAATGCCTGAAGAAAACAGCTTGGATGGTCCTTCCCCCAACTACACGCATCGTTTAAGCAGATGTTAGATGTATGCACCAATGCATAACTTGGGAGGTTATTCTCCACTTACAAGATGGGTTTCCGCAAGTACGCGCATCGGTTTGAGAGAGGCGAAGTTTAGCGGTTACCATTGAACGCTGCCCCCAGACATGCCTCAATAACGCCTGAAGGAAACACCTTGCATGGACATTCCCCCAACTAAACGCACTAACACATCGGATACGGGTTTGGAGTGCCACTACAGCATGGGGTACGGGTTTTGAGTGCCAACTACAGCATCGGATACGGGTTTTGGGTGCCACTACAGCATCGGATACGGTTGTTTAGTGCCAACTACAGCATCGGATACGGGTTTTGAGTGCCACTACAGCACCGGATACATGTTTTGGGTGCCACTACAGCATCGGATACGGGTTTTGGGTGCCAACTACAGCATCGGATACGGGTTTTGAGTGCCACTACAGCACCGGATACATGTTTTGGGTGCCACTACAGCATCGGATACGGGTTTTGGGTGCCAACTACAGCATCGGATACGGGTTTTGAGTGCCACTACAGCACCGGATACATGTTTTGGGTGCCACTACAGCATCGGATACGGGTTTTGGGTGCCAACTACAGCATCGGATACGGGTTTTGAGTGCCACTACAGCACCGGATACATGTTTTGGGTGCCACTACAGCATCGGATACGGGTTTTGGGTGCCAACTACAGCATCGGATACGGGTTTTGAGTGCCACTACAGCACCGGATACATGTTTTGGGTGCCACTACAGCATCGGATACGGTTGTTTAGTGCCAACTACAGCATCGGAGCGTCTTCCCATGCAAATGTAGTTGTTTCTTGCAACAGGACTATTTTGGGCATGCTTTCCCCCAACTACACGCTCATTGGGTCGACTTCCTGAAATGCTTCCCGCAACTACTTACTCTATTACTCGATACAAATACAAATGGTCAACTTTCCGGTTCAACTGTAACTCCCACTACCTTTTTTCCGTTACCTTAAGAGGAACTTCGTCGAGCTCACATCTCAGGTCGAGAAAGACAAGCGGAAATTCAAGTCTGCCTCAGACGAGCTGTGGCCAAGCTTGCAGTTGGTAAGTGTAACTAGACATTAGAAGTTGAAGTGGCGTGTTTCGGGTTTACACAAGGACACAGGGCTTCGGCACATCGTTGTGTCCCCACTGTTTTGAGCATGTATCTCATGCATGCAGCATTTCCAGCAATCCGCAGTGCTGAACCCTTTACCTACATAGGGTTTAGAGTTCAGGGGTTTAAGGATTTTGGGTTAAGGATTCGGGGTTTAGGGGTTCAGGGAATAAGGTTTAGGGTGTGCACTTCACCTTTTCAATCCTTCGAGAGCTTTTGTGAGTTGGCACCCTTTCTGCATGGCGGCGCTGGATTCTGCGGTTTGGCATTCCGGATTGAAGGTGTGCGCCGAACTCTAAGCGGCTGAGTTCTTGGGGCTTACGTCGAAGTCCACAAGCTTTAGGCGTTGAGGAATGCAGCGATTCCTGTCGGGTGACATGCGCCCCCCGCCTCAACACGTCCCAATAAATAAATACAAAGCTTGGCCGTGACCCTAACCCCAACTAACCTCAGCTATGCACCCTAGATGCCCTTAACCCAATCTGGCCCTAAACCCTATCCAAGGTGCAAGAAGATCGACAGCGAATTGATTCGCCGCCAGGCGAATGGCGGGTAAGTATCGATGGCTGTACGTGTAGGAAGTTCCATAAGGTAGGGTTGGATAAGGGTTAATACGATTGGCGTACTCGTGTGTGCCCCGGTACTTGTGGGCCTTGTGGAGACAGTCCGAAAACCAGGACAGACAGAGACCTACCCTTCCAACAGCCATGCATCATGAGCGCTGTAGCATTAAGTTGCAGTAACGCCCTAAACCCTGAATCCCGAAGGAAATCCAAACTGCTCGGAGCTTGACCCCTTTAGGCCAAACATCCCATAACCCCTGAGGCTTATGGAGCGCCAGCATGCCCAATCCACAAGTCAAGCCCATCAAGTGCTACGACCCTTAATCGTTTACCCGCCCACGACATCTACAGACCAAAACCTGTATAGACCCTACACTGCTTTTCTAGCAGAAATGTGCTCTCGGGGGTGCAGGGCTTCTTGACTTAAGGTTGTCGGGGTAATTTCTTGGGGGTGCAGGGCTTCTAAAGGTTTCGGGCTACATGATTGAATGCATCCATCTTCATACACTTCGAAATGTCTTGTGGAGTGGGCAGATTTGGGTGCAGGGTTCAGGGTCAATGTTTCTGATTGTGCGTTTGGGGTGAGGGCTTCCATGCTTTAAGGCCAGGGCTGACACTCTCGAATCATCCCGAATCGCACGCCCGAAGTCCCTCATCGTCTGCACGAGCCCCCGTGTGTAACCGCCATGATACGACCCGCAAACTACGGCCACAGGGTTCCCTTCATCATGAATGAACGGATGAAAGAAGGAGGAAGAACACAGAAGTGAATAAATGCATGCACGGATGAATGAGCGAGTTTTTGAATAATTCAAGCAATGAGTCAACGAATCAAGCAACCACAACATTCCGCCATCAGTCAAGCAACGGAACCAAGTGAAGTCAACTGGACTCACACGAAATGAAGTCAAACGACACGAAACACAGTGAAAACAGGAAAGAATGAACTAGTACAACAAACGAATGGAACGAAATGACACTGGCGATGCCATCAAAGCAACTAAAAACTAAGGACGTGCATGCCATGAGCAAGGAAGTCTGGAACTAAATGCATGTTATGTGCAGAAAGAAATGAACGGCACACTGACGAACTAGCTCGCTGACTTGTACGACTGTGTGAGCCTATGAACGAAGGAAAGAAGAAATCAATGCATGCATGCATGTATGCAAGCCGGGACCGAGGGAGGAAGGAAGGAAGAGATCAAGACATGAATATGGAGGGATGTGTGAATGTATGGAGGGCCATTGAATGGACGGAGAATGAGTGGGCGATTGACTGGCTGACTCACTGGCTGGCTGGCTGACTGGCTGACTTGCTGAATGAAGGCGTGAGTGAATGAACCAATGCATCAAAGACTCCACAGAAAGAATCAAGCAAGGAATGAACGACTCGTGAACAAGGATGATTGAACGAACGTCTGGCTGGCTGGAAGGCTGACTGAATGACTAAATAAAGGAACAAATAACTCAACTAGTTCATGGATGAATGAATGAGCGAGTCGGTGACTGAGCAACTGAGCGAATGAATGAACGCGCAAAAGAACGAAGAAATGCATGAGTGAATGAAAGAATGCAGTGAATGATCGAGCAATTGGTTGATTGCTTGCTTGTTTGCTTGGTTGGTTGCTTGCTTGCTTGACTGGCTGACTGATTGACTGATTGATTGATTGATTGATCGATTGATTGATTGGTTGAACGTGTGAGAAAGAACGAATGAACCGAACGAGCGAGCCAATGGAAGGATGCGCGCATGAATGGCTGGCTGACTGACTTAATGACGGAATTCAGGCATGAAAGAAAATTTAGCTGAATGAACGAATAGAACATTGAATGCAATGAACGAAAGAAGTGCAAGAAGGAAGGAAGGAGGGAAGGCAGGAAGGATGTAATGAAGGAACGGAGTGGGATGAAACTGGTCGATGTGGAATGAAATGGAATGCAATGCAGGGAATGGGACGGATTGGAATGGGCTAAAATTGAATGAAATGGAAGGGAATCAACTGAAACGGAATGAAATCTAATGAACTGGAATGAAACGGAATGACATGCAATGCCATGGAACGGAATGCCATGAAGTGGCATGCCATGGAATGAACGAAGGACTGAATAAATGAATGAGTTAAAAAGTGAATAAGTGAATAAGTGAACAAATATATGAATGAATGAATGACTGACTGACTGACTGACTGACTGACTGACTGAATGACTGACTGACTGACTGACTGAATGAATGACTGACTGACTGACTGACTGAATGAATGACTGAGTGAGTGAATGAATGAATGACTGACTGACTGACTGACTGAATGAATGAATGAATGAATCCAAAAAACTCGACAAATGAATGAATTGGACTCACGACTGACGCACATAGTGAATAACAGTCAATCAGAATCAACGAATTAAAGCGTTAATGACGGCATATATACATGTGATCTGACTGGCCAAAGTAGATCGACAATACAACTTTTAAGCAGACCACGTCTGCTACACCCCTGTCTGCATATGTTCGGCAGGCGATGCATGGTCATACGTGGCCTTCCACACACTTGTTCCTGGGCCGTTCAAACCTTCAGCATGCACTCTGTTGGGCATGTTGTGCAAGTGGCCCCTGCGCCTGTGTCTGTTTGCAGCTTGCCATCTCCTGTGCCCGGACAAACTGCAAGCCACGAGTGCCTGAAGTACGGCTACCTAAATGCAACTGGACCCATAGTATCAGGCATAAGCGCAACTCGCACAAACTTAAGCGTTAACCTGAGCACACAGGAGAGACGAGCCTGACGACCCCAGAATCCAACCAATGAATCCAACATCAACTTACCGGAGCCTGAATCTTAAGGCAGGAAACCCGACGCTTCAATCCCAACCCCCTTCGACTCAAAAAAAATCGTCGTGAGAGGAGCAGATGGTCTCCGCGCAATCTCTTGCCGAGGCCCTGCGTTTCGTTTGTTTTCGGATACGCTGATACAGTTGAGAGACATGCTTTCCGACCAGCCAGGTTCGCTTTGTTCATTACTTAGGGCGTGCTATGCATTTCCAGCTCTTTAGACGGTCATTACCCTTACGACGATCTGCTTCATCTTCTGTCACGATGCTGCCACCCTCGTCCACACGACCACACTTGGTGACACACATGGGCTATGTTTTGCAAAAGTGCTCTATTTGCCTTTCCTGTGTTGCCGGAGACTTTGCTTATCATCAGTGCGGTTCCTCTTTTTGGTCTTGGTGGAAGATGCGGTAGGAGAATGTGTCAGAGTGTCACAGACACGCACACATACACACTCTCTCTCCCTGTCTCCCTTCCTTCCTAGTCCTATTCTCTCTCTGCTTTTGCCGTCTGGGAGGAAGGAAAGGGCAACCCTCTGTTGCAGACTTTCCTTGCAAACGCACAATTCGAAGGGAGAGAGGGGCGGTACTTCTTTGTGCTGTTCATCCTTTCTGTTGGTGTGTCGCACCAGGTGATGACAACGAGTAGAAGCACAGACGATACAAAACCCTTCTCTCCAGGTCTGGGTTGTTTTATGTTTCCCTACGAGTATTCAACAGTTGCGCGTCTATGTCTCCCATCATGGTTCTATCTTTCTCTCTCACTCTATCTCCCCCGCTCTCTCTTTCACTCCTGCAGAAGATGATAATGTCGACTGCAAGTTGGGAGCAGGACATGCTCCTAGACAGATCTGTCTTGGTCACAGGGTGACCAAATCTTGGAAAACGGTGCAGCTTGAGCCTTGATTTTGCGCATTGGTATTCAAGAAGTGTGTCCAAATGCATGGATTAGAATCTAGGAACACGTGAGAAATTGGACTAGTGGTTTCCACGGTGTGTTCTTCAATTGAATCCCACCAACAACGAGGCAGGTAATTATTACAAACATGCATGCGTACATGCATGCATGCATATACACAGACAGCCAGCCAGGCAGACAGCCATGCATGCATGCATACATACAAACATACATATATACGTACAGACATACATACATACATACATAGAGCACTCTCACTCTGAAAGCGTGCTTAAGCCTGAAGGCACACAAGCTTAAACCACAGGCCCGAAAGTCCCAAACCACCAAGGCAGCCTGCTCGTTGCTGAAAATGCGACGCCACAAACCCCAGATCCCAAGACCAAACCATAAAGCCTGATGTATAATCTTGCCGGCCCGTACTATAAGGGCCTAAATACGTACAGGTACCATTTTATAATAGACCCAAGACTTCAGTCTAATTACTAAGGCCCCTAGAGTATGGAAATTCACGGTTTGGGGTTTGGGGGTTCAGGGAGGGCAGCAAATAGAAACCGCTGCAAAGCTTACCTATTATCCATTGTAGTTCCTTGTTTTGGTTAACCAAAGTCTCTATTATAGGATCCTAACCATAAAACCAGTCAACCAAAAAAAGGAACTACAATGGAGGCTCTAGGTAAGCCTAAAGCGGCAGACCGAAGAACGAGGCCATGAATTTGACGACACAGGGCCAGCTAGCACAGGCGCTTCAGCGGTTGCAGGAGCCGCTGCGTGAAGTTGTGCTTAGGGTTTACGGGGTTAAATGTGTCGGGTGTCATGGCTTAGCCCAAAGGGTCCTATGTACCGATATAGTAGAATGTAGGGTTTCCATATTAGGAATTACAATTATGACTTAGGGAAGTATCCCCCATAACAGTACATAGGACCCTTTGGGTAGGGGTTGAAGGTTGCTAAGGTTCTAATCTAGGCACAGCTTTTTTTCCGGTGTTTGGGATGAGAGGCCTGGTGGCCTGGCGGTGTGGGTTTCTACCTAGAGGCTCATACTCTACCCCTTTTTTAGGGCGCCTACTTTTTGAGATAACAGACCCTAACCATAAAATTAGATATCCTAAAGCAGGGGTAGGATATGAGCCTCTAGGTAGTTTCCAACCTGAGTCCACGAATTCAGGATTTGAGCATCTCAGGAATTTAAACTGTATTAGGTATCGATTTGGGGTGTTTTCTAATGTTCCTTCCTTTTTAATATATAGGCCTCATGAATTATATGTAATTTAAAATTTGGGGGTTGTTGAAATTGTCACCCAGTGTAGAGGTCCATAGACTTCGGGCTTTCTATCCACTTGTTGCTTTCTGCACCTTCGGTTTAGGTTTGGTTTTATAAAGTTTGGGGTTTATAGGGGTTTAGGGTTTTTGTGCTTGGGCCAACAGCCGAAATAGCCCGAGCCTTAATCAGCTCTGAACTCCAAACCCGCCTAATTCTAAAAGCCCCAAGCACTACGTAAACCCTGAACTCTAGTTACACGCCCTATGCATCCTGAACCCTTTCTAAACCGGAACCCATAAACCTAAACCCTAAACTCTAAACTGGAGTCGCTAAGAGCTGCCTTCGGGAAAAAGGAGTTCAACAACAAAAATCTTGCAATCTCACAGGAGCTTTCCCCAGGGGAGCTCCGGCGGAGGTGCGACCTGCTGCCACTTTGCCTAAGCCAGTCCGTGGCCGGAGGTAGTCTTTGGGTTCTGGGGCTTGGGGGCCACAAGCTGATGGCAACCAATACCGTCGCTACATGATGAATGGCGATGCATGTGACATGTATCTATACCTGCTTGTATGACTGTACCTTAAGCCCCAAAAAGCATACTGGTAGATTGGACTTGTGGCTCTATGTTTAGAACAGAGGTGTGGTGTTACTGAGGTTTCCGGATTCGAATTATATACGTCAGTACCGTCAGGAAAAGCTTGAACCCTGAACATAAAGGAAGCCGAACCGAAAGACAAACCGAAGCCGTAACAACCACTGGTAGCTGACGGCAGCCGCATCCCGAAGCCCGGGTGCGGGGCTTAGTTTAGGGTTTAGGCACTGGCCGAAGGGGTGCAGGGGTTTAGGTTAAACCGTATCATGTCTGTCGGGTACAACCATTCAGAAAAACAGGGGGAGAGAGAGGGAGAGAGAGAAGGAGCGCGAGAATGTGACGCAGCCCTGAAAGTTACCCTCAGGGTTTACAGTTCGGAGAGTTGCCGTATAAGGCTCATGGACCCTTGTAGTTAGCCCCCAAAGCCAAAACCCTCCCCCAGAAAGCCCAAGACCTTCTCAGGAGCATTAGGGTGAGGCTCACTTGGAGGATCATGGGACTTGGTAAGTAGGCTATAAGTACCTTAACTGGGGTTATAATAAGTCGAGTACTTACTAGTATAGTTACCCCAATAGTAGTCTTAGTTACTAAGTCCCATGATCCTAAGTAACCCTAAGACCCCTCTTATAGAACCCACACAGATCGCTTTTGAGGAGCCCTTTAAAGAACCCTATAGTTACTACGTCCCATGATCCTTTAAGCAAGGTTTAGGGTCCAACCTCATGGCCTAGGGCTTGGAGTTTACAGTGAACCCCGGAAACTTGGAACATGGATTATGGATGATTCGTGCTAGGGTTCCCTAAACTTTACTTGAAGGGCATGGGGATAATGATGTTCCAAGTTTGTGGCTTCTACTCTGATTACAATAGGCACTACTTCACTACTGTACTGCGATTGTACGATTAAAGTACGGCTTCGCACCAACTGCATCTTTCCAACGAGCCTATATCCCAGCCCAAACCCCGCGCCCCCCCCCCCACCCACAACCCGGGCATCCGCGGAGGATCGACGACCCCGAGCCACCCCAAAACCCTTCTAAGTTAGTCAAGCCAACCCAAGTAGAGGGCTCAGGGGGTCACGGGCACGAGAATATTTATTCAATTCAGGCCAACCCCGAATGGTCGGGGGGGGGGATGCCCGTCCACTAAAGAGAGTCACACATCGCATTACTACTAAAATCTGAGCTATAAGCCTACCATGATATTAGCCCGAAAACCTTGTTCTACCTCCTACTTCTTAATGAAGGCACCTAGATTTGCTTTTGTCCCTCGACCCATACAGCGTCTTAAGCCTACACCCGAAGCCCTCAGTCTCAGGCTTGCACCGCCCAACTCCTTGGAGAGCTCGGGTGGTTGGTCACCTGTTTGGTAACTGAAGCAATTGTGTGCTTTTCCACTGCATTGACAAACCGCCGGGCACGTCAGGTAGATTGCGAGTGGACTTAAGCATTATGCAAAGGCGTCCAGCTTACAACCATGTGCCACACCTTCATCTCTAAACCCTAAACCATACTAATCGTTGCCAGAGACCGTCCCGGGTTTGTCCTGCAACTCGTGTCCCAGGGAGGGACCCATGGATGGGCGGGCCGATGAAACCGGCGAAGCTCCGGGAGCACGTCCCAGATACCAGACCGTCCATCATTCCTGGCCCACGTTCGTCCCCCGGAAAGGAAATCCCTTATAATGCGACACGTCGCGGGCTCGCGGCTGAGTGCTTCGTCTTACAAGTTGCGCGGTGGATGCAAAAAGAGCCACAGCATACTCCAGGGGTTTGCTTGCGTTGACCCTTCCTCTCTGCTTCGGGCTTAGAGTTTAGGATTTAATGCGGGTAAAACAGCTGCAAGCCAAACCATGGCCTATCGTTTTTGTTCATTAGGAGTCCTTATCGGCCGATCCTAGCGTTCAGTATCTAGATCAGCCTACGTCACATCTGTTGGAGTGCCCCAACCCTGGAAATCTACAACCGGCCTGTGACCGATGCCTTACTTCCCCAGTTCCATCTTAAAGGTTTGGGTTCCTTGCTCGGGGCTTACCCACAGGCTCCAGAGTAGTTCCTTGTTGAGATTACCTTATAGGATTCTATATATGAACCCCGAAAAGGAACTACTTTGGAGCCTCTTGGTAGCATCGGTCTATGTTGATCGGTCTACGGTTTTTTTCTTCAGCGCTTAAGCAAATCTTGATGTCCGACACAGTTTTGGTTTTGGTGCTTCAGGGCTTCGCCCTCACAGTCTACAGCCAGGATCTTCATAGGGAGGCAACACGACGGCAGGAGCTGCGAGATCGACAACAACGTTTGAAACGACAGCCCTCATCTCAGTTCTCTAAACCACGCCTCTTGACATCTCCACGATGGTTGAATCTCACGCTCTCATGGGATCTATATATGTGGCAGCAATAATTCGAATGGGTTTCTGTCTGTGAGGATGGTATGTTTCACGAGGAACCCGATTCTGGAAGCTGTTTTCCACGTCCCCTAGCCTAAGCTTCCAGACTCGAAGACACACAATTCGTTCAATACGGTCTCCTGGGCCACTCTGCCATGGCATGAGCATGCCTTGTGCATCCAAAGGTTGCCTGGGGCTGAGAATCGCAATTCCTTCGGTTATAGTGAGAACGAAAGTAAGCTAACACAGCTTCTGAAGGCGTTGCCGCGATCTCATCATCGCGTTAGTGCTATTTTTGCTATTCCTTTAGCTGGTTAGGGTGTCGTGCCAATTCGTGGGTTTGTGCTGACCAAGATCACAGTTTCGCTGCTTCGGGGTGGCAAAGTGATGAGACGTGTCGCCCCCTTAACCCCCATAGTCTCAGAACTTCAGGCTTTCAGGATCGCGGCTTTGGTTCTGGACGATTCAAAATTCAGGTTCGGCCTTGAATCATAATTCAGTGTTTTCTCACCAGGCCAGCGCAGTCGGTGTCGTTGCCAGAAAGATGATGTGAGCGACTCGTTTGGCCAGAAGCTAGAGAATGTTCTCCGGAAAGAGAACAGCAACAGATGTAAGCGGGATCCCTGAGCCACGAACAGTCCACTCTACCCCCTTGCCACGTGCCTCACTTGAGTGCTCATAGAAGCTGGCTGGTTTCCACCTGCAACACAACAATCGAAGTCCTGGCGCTTTTTGATGCTTGTACTTTTTTGGCCATGGGTCGACTTTCAATATATCGCACAATTCAGGAACGCGCTACTTGTTGCCATCTGCTGCCCTGAAGTTCCGAAGAAGTTTAGAAGAGCACCATAACTCCCTAAATGTGAACCTTGAAATCTTGATATCGAAAACGCCATGCCTCCAGACCCCCACGGCTTTCCAAAGCCTGAAATCCCACGCCCGCCCAGACCGGACATGTGCAGACGGTGTGGAGGCCTACTTGCCCTGAAATCGACGCTACTAAACCACCACAACCTATTTCGCGCTAAGTTTATGGTCTGTCCATACCACTCGATGAGAAAGTGTGGGACCCAGCACGAACAAGTGCATTAACGTGCTTCAACGTAGAGCTAAATCCTGCAACCGGTGTCTCGTTTTGCAAAGTAAGTATTCGTTTCCCTGAGTTCATATCCGTTGACTCTCTCATGTTGCCCAGCTCTGTGGTCAACGGAAGCAAAATGGGGGTTTCCGAAAATTGGGGGGTACCTTAGTTTGGGCTCCTTATAAGGAATCCTACCATTTAGGGTAATATATTAGTTTTCGGAAACTCCCAAATAATCAACAAGGCATGCTTCCTTGATTCATACGGCTGATGATACAAATCCTGCATTACCCACAATAAGGAATATACCATAAGTCCCATAGTTTAGAAGTCCTTAAGGTAATGCAGGATTTATATCATCAACCGTAGATACTGAGCTCCGTAATTCAGGACGCTTTGCTCGAAGGGCCCGGGCGGATGTGCTCCGTTACGGACCCCTGGGCTCCAAGTATCCAAATAGTACCTACCTATAGTCTCCATTGTAGTTCCTTTTTTTGGTTAACCTTTTTTATGGTTAGGATCCCATAATAGAGATTTTGGTTAACCAAAAAAAGGAACTACAATGGAGACTATAGGTACTTTGGGGCCGAAGGTCTATATGTGGGTGGTTTCCAAATTTAGGGTCCTTTGTTTGGGTCCCTAATATAGTACGGCACCTAGTATTTAGTGCCATTTAGGGTACCCCAAAAGGGACCTTAATTTTGACGTACTTAGGGCGATTTGGAGCCCCCGGGTGATACGAAGCCCTAAGCCGGAGACTCGACCGATGTTGATACAGCTGATTCAGGGGTCGGCAGAAGTAGTAAGTCCATTACCCAGGGTTCCTCACAACTTATCGTCGACGACACCCCGCCCCCCGAAAGCAAGCACGCATTCTAGTCATTAATGCCAATATATTTCTTTGCCTTGTTCGACGCAGAGCATGTGTGCTTGTTTTCTCAGCCTCGGCTTATCTTCCAAAAACACTTGTCTCTACCCCTAACCCACAAGCCCTAAATCCTACATGCACAACCCCTACACCCTAAACCTATCCTAACCCGCTGGGTTGGGGTAAGGGGTTAGGGTAGGTTAGGTCGGGCTAGGGGGGGGATCCCGTGATCTGTGAACTGGGCCCCGGTTCACTGACATAGGACGTCAGTTTACTGAACCAGCGTTTTCAGTTCCCCGGAATGTGCTGTCGTCCTGGTTTACTATATGGTTTATGCTTTGCCTTACAGTGCCTTACAGGTCCTATACAGGACCCCTTTATTTAGGGCTGAGGTACGTGCAGTTGAGGCTATGGCTTTGCGGTTCTGGTTCACTGTCTTAGGCGCTATAGAGGCCCAGGGCAACAGCGGAGGCCATATATACACATATTAGTAATGCATAGACACACACACACACACACATATATATATATATATATATATATATATATATATATACATATCCATATTATGTACACACACATATAATATGCATTTACACATGTTTTCACCTCAGAGCTGTCAGTGTTGGGAAAAGAAAAGCTGTTTCGACTCGCCACCAGCATTTTGCTCCAATGTAGACCAGCACAGCCCTGGAAAGGGTGGTGCATAGACCCAAAGTCCCAGAGCCCGAAGCCCTGTTACGAAAACTGGTTGACCAGGCCCCTGATTTTGGATCGATACCTTCTGGGCAAGCAGATGGACCCGACATCCACACCATCTGCAGAGGTTGCAGCTAGTGTGAACCTTGCCAGTTTCTCAACGGTTCTCATGGCGTGCCAGCTCAACTGGCGCAGCAGTCTGTGTATACTACTAGGCCTGCGCGCCCTAAAACATCAACCAATTGTCAGTAGCATCAAAAAAAAGAGCCTAGAACCTCAGCCGACACCCTAGACTATGAGTTCCGAGCTCGCTAAACCCGATCAACCCGAATCCCGCGACCTCAAGCCGACCGACCATGCACATGGCGTCGGACTTGTGGATTTTTGTCGGATGCTCGCGACTTTGCATCTGCACGGGTCCCAGCCATTGTTGCACTCAGGGTGCAAGTTTAGGGCTCAGGGATCGGGTTTAGGGGTTTGGGGGTTTAGGGTGCAAGGGTTGAGAGGTATCAGGGTTTGGGGTTTACAAGTGAGGATCAGAGTGGTTTCAGGGTTCGGTTCGGGGGTTTTAGTATTTTTGGATAGGGATTACTGGTTCGCTGTTTTGGGTTGAATGGTGATGCGTTTAGGGTAGAGGGCTTGGAGTTGCCTTGGATGCCTTCAGGCGGGATGCGTACATATATATATATATATGACTAAACATTGTTCCGCAAGCTCTACCGCTTGCTCAAAAATGGGTCGTCTTACTTGAGTTTGCGGGATTCTGAGTCTGCAGTTCTGCGACTCAATATCCGTAGGAGCGGTTTCGGCTTTAGTATTTCCGCAGGCCCCATAGCGTTCTATGCAAATTGAAGTCACGCGTAAACACTTAAGCCAAGAGAGCAGGCATTATCCCAGTAAACACTTAAGCCAAGAGAGCAGGCATTATCCCAGTATCCCTTGATAAGATGGCATCTGGGATTGGGTGACCGAAATATCGATGAATTAAGACAGAGGACTGAGAGCTTGAGGCGCTTGGCTTCAAGCACTTTAAGGTAAAACACTGCACGAAGGCGATTGAATTAAAGAAGGCCCGAACTGTTAAGGTCTTTATCGTGCGGAGCCTGGAACAGGAAGACCAACTGTTCTACGGACGGTTATAGCTATCAATAATTAACAAAGTTACGAAATAGAGTATCATCATCATCATGATATGTATTGTGGTTCGGTTCAGAGTTTGCGATTGGCACCCCGTCGTCGAAGGGTGAAACGCCGCAAAATGCGAGGCAGCTGCCCTGGACTCCCTACTGCACGCCGAACACACTAAGTAAAACCATAAACCTTAACTCCCAAGTCCC